GCTGGGGGGCGCTCGGGGGCGGTGGCCCGGGACGGAGGGCCCCGCAGGCTGGGGCTGCCCCGGACGCGCGCCGCGGAAGACACGGGCTGAACGCCATGAGTTTTGTCCCTTTCCGGCTGCCGTCCGGGTGGGGGGGCGTTGTGTAAGGGTGGGGGAGTTTAAAGGGCCGTTAGCTGCGGGGTGCGGCCGGCACGTGGGGGCGAGGCGGAGCCTCAGGAGGTGGCTCCCGGGGCTGGGGGTGTGAATGGGGTGCGGACCGGGCCTCTGGCATTGGGTCGGTGGGGCGGACAGGGCGCGGCGCTGTGCAGAGTGAGTGGGAACTCACAGTCTAGAGGGGATGTCGGGTGCCCAGTACTTATTCTGAATGCTGCTTGTTAGGCTACAGTTGGACTTAAGCTCCCGGCGCCCTGCCGCGTGGAAGGCTGGAGTGCGGGCAACAGCGGTAGCATGGTGCGATGGATTTACCTTTTCCCTGACTGGCTGTGATCTGGAAGCTTTCATTTCTAACACTGTGGATAGTGAGAGTATCTGAAAAATCCCTTAGTCCCTCAACACGAGAGCTTCCAAAATGCCAGTTTTGTTTGAGGCACGACCTCAGCCTTTCCTCATGGCCTGTGCTTATCCAAATCTTTAGCTTTTTAGACTCACACTCTTTCAACAAAATATGTACTGTTAAAAAAATTAATTTTTTAAAAATTAAAAAACAGTTTGAAAGCCCTGCATTTTGAATGTCTGTGCATTCGGAGACAGGTTGTGCCTCCTGCGATCATCTAGCTGAGTTTGAATGCATAGCAGCTTTCTTGAGGTTAACCAAAGCCTGCTAGGTACAAAGAACTTCAGAACGTTTTTTGGAACCAGGTAGGATTAAATAGTAACTGTTTAGTAATACAAGTTGGGAATACCGTTTGTGGTAATCCATTTACCTCTCAGAAAGCCTGGGCTCGTAGGGATCCATTTCTCACTTTCTTTCTCCATAATGCTGCAAAATGATGGCACATAGGGACCGCTCAACAGTTGTCTGTGAATGAATGAGTGAACATAGGAACAATCAAAGAAAGCAACTTGGCTGCAGTTGCCCCATAAAACTGCCACCAAAATACTGGATAGTCCTTGTGTACAATATGACCACTGTTATGTGTCTGCTATTGCTGTCTAATGTGCCAAATAGGGCGCACATTTAAGGGATGCTCTTGTTGGGCAGCTTCTTACGTTTATAAGGCCAATAGCTTCTCTGAAAGTGTTTCTTCCATGATCATTGAACATTTTGTGGACTTGGGGCCTCAGCGTGAAATACTCTAACAGGGTGCAGGAGGATGCTAGACTTAGTCTTCAGCTAGGACAGTTGTGATGAGTAATTTAAAAATTGGTTGAGATCTAAAAGCACTTTTCATCCTTGTTTAAACTTTTCTGACACCTTGGTTCACTTTATAGTTAACAAGAAAGCAAGCTTTCCCTTTGATGGCATGCTTCTCGCTTTATCATGTAGCCATGGACCTCAATCACTGGTCCTTTCATTCCACAAACACTTACTGACTGCCTGGCAGGAGCCAACCATTGTACTTGGTACTAGGGATTCAAAGCTCAACAAGAGCTCATGGATCACTGGAGAAGATAAATCTGCTAACAAGTTGTTACAGTCGACTGTGGCATGTGTATCCGGTGTGTGGAAGGCTAGAAAAGAGAGCAACAGATTTACCTGTGGCTCTGCTGAAGCAGTGACGTTTGAATTAGAGGATTGCCAAGAAGAAAAGGGTGAAAGAGCAGTGTAGAATGAGAGTTTGACAAATGCAAAATGCTTTGAGGTATAAGTCAAAGCATTTCTGTAGGCCTTATATGGATTGTATATACAGGTATCAAAATCACTGTGCCAGAGCTAGTTTTTGGTAGGCCCAGAGCTTGATTTTCAGTAGAAGCCAATGAAATCAACATTTGTGTTTAGAAAAAGCTCACTTTGTGCAGGAGTAGAGAATAGAAAAGATGAGATTTCAGAATCTTGTACAGATGATTTGTCCTTGAACTAGGGCAATGTTGTGGGACTGGAGAGGCCTGGCTACATTTGAGAGTCATTTAAGAGGTAAATTTGATTTACTTGGTAACTAATTAGATGTCAGAGGAAGGTCTGAGCTGGTTCTGAGTTTTCCAGCTTTGATGATCAAATACATGTGGTCAGAAGAGGGTAGAAATAGAAACAGATTGAGTGGGTGGGTAAAATGTTTAAGTTTGAGGTGCTTGGATGGTATTTGGGGGAGGGGTCAGAGTTTGAATTTCAGGGATTATTAGTTTCCAGGAAACAGACCAAAACAAAACCATTTAGTTGGGGAATTAGATTATCTTTCTAATTTGAGTCACTTATTAGGAAGCAGTTTTGTGGATACTGTCTCCTTTGTCTTTTGGTGGCACATGCTAAGCTTTCATAAACAAAAAGGGAATGTTAGCTTTCCCTAAATTTTAGAAAAATCATCTAAGGAACAATATATCTTATTTTTTCAAACTTAAACTTAAGCCTTTTATTAATATCCAATAGAATGCCAATAAAATATAATTTATGACTTATAGACTTGGGCTCTTGATGTTCTCGAAGGCTTCATCCATGACCTTGGTGAGTCTCCAAATTCGTGAATGTCACCATGGTATATAATTTCCTCCATAAAATGCAATAAAGTGAAACTGGAAGAATGTAAGGAGTCCTTTTAGACTCTTGATGGTTCTATAAATATGGGCCCAAGGTAATTTCTAAAGGTATTTAAATAAATTTTGCCATTAAAATAAACTCCTTACTTCATTACCTTATATCTTTACTATATTAACTCCATCTTTCCCTGACTCTGCAAAGAAAAAAAGTTAGCTACAGTGTGAGAATAACTGTGTGGATGTCAGTGAGCAGAGAAGAGCTAAGCTGTGCAGTGACACCAAATACCAGGTGTTGGGTATGCTCCACTCACTGGCTATGTGGCTCACAAGGGCTCTCTGGCCTGTAAGTGGTCTATTCAGATTTATGTCTCAGCAAATGACCTCATAACTGGGACTTTGCAGGTCATTCTTTGGAGACCATTTTCATTCCTAAATATCCAGTTGGCAAATGCCAATGCATTGCTGCGTTGTAGCTCAGATGAAGTCCTCAGAAGTGTAAGAACTTCTCTGTGGAGCTCTTCTTTTTCTTCTTTTCCCCCTGCAGGGTCTCAGGCATGCTGGGAAAGCACTGTACTGTGGAGTCACACCCCTACCTCCTTTAAATTTCTGTCTCATCATTGTAAGTCTTTCCTGCCTCTAGTACTATCACATACCTGCCTCTGCCGGCACCTTCCATGCTGTTCTGCCATTGTTTGCTGATGCTGAGCTCCTCTAGTAGGCCATGACCTCCTCAGGGTAATGTGCTGTCATACCCTAGTGCCCAGTCTAGTGCCTGGTCCTGGGGAACTGCTCCATAAACACTGGACTAACTAAAAGTATTCTCAGAAATCTGATAGAGCTTTATTCCCCTTCCCTTTAGGCTCTGTAAGTTGTTTCATTACCTACAATAAATGTGTGTTTATCCTAACTCTTCTGTACTGTATCTCTTTGCCTTCTCACTCTTTTTTAAAGTATGCTTCCCCAATGTTAAGTGATGCCTTTTGTCTTTGACCACTATGTGCAATCTGAAGAACTATAAGTTCTAGGCACCAAGAATTGGAAAAACTCCGATGACAAGACCTTGACGACAATCATTCCATATGAATAACTTCATTGGAGTTTATTCGCGGGGTGCAGCACAAATGCTCCTTTGTACTTTGAGCTTTTGATGTTCTTGGGCATGACAGAGCTCCTTAGTTCCCCAAGCTAGGGCCCTACAGCAGACTGTCCAGGATACTGGCCCGGCGCCGCTGTTACAATCTGCTCCCTCAGCTACGGGTGACCCTGCACTCTGTCCTTTCAGAAGAGAGTGATCTCTGACTTTATTTTTCCTATTGATTGACTCATTACTCAATTTGTCAAGTGTGCTTTTTAGAAATGCTGGGTTACAAGGGCCTATTTTCTCGTTGAACTTGGCAAAGAATTTCAGAAACTGTAGAGCAGACCATGAAAGCTTGAGGAACTGCCTGTGAAATTTAAAAAACAAAGATGGCTTTTGATCTAAGTTAGATGACCTGAAGACAGGCAGGAGGTTAAGTGATTCTTCAACTTCCAAGAGTGCAAAAGGAAAGACATACTCCTTTTTGGGTGGGAATTGCACTGACCACCATGATTTCTTTTCCATGCTAAGAAGCTCAGTGTGGTGTGGACCATGGCAAGGGACTCTGACTGCTTTGCCAAAGTCACTAAGCTCAACGTGTGCGTGCTGCTTCACATGGTCATTTTTATAGTCTTGTATTATATTAGACTATGGAAACTACAAAAATGA